AAGACAACTCCTTTTTTTATGATTTAACAATTTGTTAGTAATTTATTGCTGCTATTTCTGATTCTACTCTGAAATTAAAGGTTTTTCATATGAATAATTGTGTCAGGTAAAGTGAAAATTAGCCAGGCCTATTCTTTCCTTCTTCAAAGTAAACTATATAATTTGAAAAGCTATCTTGTTTTTTTTTCTTTTTCACCAGCAAAGAGGAAAGGATATTTGTTCTTAGACATAGTTAAAAGTTCTGTTTTTTGTCTTCATCTATGAAATGATCCTTTAAATTCCACATACTTATATTTATTTTACTTCTTATTTTTTAAAGAACCAGCACCGAGCAATAGATCAAGTAATTAAAGCTGTACGAAAAATCTGTAGTGCTTTAGATGGTGTAGAGACCCTTGCCATTACTGAATCAGTAAAGAAACTAAAGAGAGAAGTTAATCTTCCAAGAAGTAAAAGTGCTGATGTGAGTATTTTTTAGAAATTAGCATTTTACTATATGCAAATATGTGCTTATATGATCACCCATTACTTAAGCTGGAAGATTTTTATTTCTCTTGGATAAAATAATTATTTTAACTGTAGCTTTTAATTTTGATTTGGTTTTTGGTCACTTACTTGGCTAGGTGGGGGGGATCCCCAAAGAGAGTGAACTTCTTTGGGAGAGTTAAATAAATGTATGCCAAACTGTGGACCTTTTGTGTATAGAGGAAGAACTCTAGTATAAATGAGTTGGAGGTTTTAAAGTAGTTATTAAGTTCTTTCTTGATATTATACTGTTGTTTTTAGTAAAAATTCGCCCCATGGTATTTCCAGGGGGTTTAATTAGTTCTGTTTATAGGGTGTTCATAACTCTAATTGGAAAGATGAGAGAAGGTGAATCATAACATATGATAAATTTGAAGAAAGGAAAAATTATGTTGATATCATGACCCTCAACAGATACTTAATCTTCTCACAAAGATCCTATCCGTGTGGATTCAGAAATTTGGATCTGTCTCTTGTTTATTTCTTTTTATGTGCTTGTTTCTAGAAATTAGAACATTTCCATGAAATCACTTGAACATTATTGACTATAATGGTCCTAATGTTTGTTGTCTGAGGCTGTATTTATTATACTCTTGCCAGATAAAGTAGTAAGCAGAGAATAAGAGGAGAGCTTAATTTAAACAAATTATGAGAACTTTTTTGGTCATGAAATGATAATACTCTGTTTCTTTACGAATATTCTGATGCTAACAGTAGAAAACTAAGGGAAACAAAATACTGTGTTCATTTATTCATTACTTTGGGGTTTCAGATCTTAATTCATAAATTGTCCAAATGGGACAACTTGTTTAGTTTCTATGAATTGCAGATATTTTCAATTACTTTGATTTTCTTGACTCTAAAATTCATCTGCTTATTTGGTTAGGAGTTTTCAGTTTCTGCATTCTTTTTTGTTTCATTACTTCTGCAGACACTTATGGGGAGCTTTCTCTTGTGAAGGCTTTTTTTGATAAAATATTTGATTTAATGCATTAAGTAAAGGTAAACATATTTCACAAACAGCTTTCTAACTAATTTATATGACTATATGCAGGTGACTTCACTGTCTGGAGGAGACACTGGCAGGTGTTCATCTAGGGGTATGTCCTTAACTTATTTAAATTTTAGCAATAAAATGCTTTATCAGAATATTATATTAACAGTTTCTTTAAATCTAGGCTCACTGAATCCTGAAAATCCTGTTCACGTAAGCATGGATCAGTTAACTGCAGCAATTTATGATCTTCTTAGACTCCATGCAAATTCTGGTAGGAATTCTGCAACCTGTGCCCAAAGTAACAGGAACATCAAGGAAGCATGGACCACAACAGAACAGCTCCAGTTTACCATTTTTGCTGCACATGGAATTTCAAGTAACTGGGTATCAACGTAAGTAACTGATTAAGAGAAAATCATACAGCATTACCAAGAATTATTGTAATATGATTAAAAGAAAATCATACAGCTTTACCAGGAATTATTGTAATCTTGTAAATGGCCAGCATCCATGCTTATCTTGGGTTTAAATGGATAATACAAGAGTCAATCCAATACCATTAGTGTTTTCATAAAAATGTTAGCTGTTCAGGCCTCCCTGGTAGTGCAAGAGGTAAGTCTCAGCACCATGAAAGCTGTTGGCGGCCACCATAGCACTAGTTCCATCCCCAGCCAGGGAGCTGACCCACATGGTGCAGCAGATCTCTCTTGTCTTTCACACTTCTCCCCTCAGCAGTGTGTTTAAGTCAGTCTCGATATTCTGCTCC